TGTGTGTGTGTGTGTGTGTGTGTGTGTGTGTGTGTGTGTGTGTGTGTGTGTGTGTGTGAGTGTGAGTGTGAGTGTGTGACGTCCTTTCTTAGTCAAAGATTATATGCTTTCTTATTTCCCATTGCTGAGTCCAAAAATAACAGTGTATGACTGGAGGAGAGCCAGAAAAGTACAACCAGACCACTGAGAGAGAGAGAGACCAAACACACGCGCGCACACACACTCACAGTCCTTCATTACCTGACATATAAAATATTTAAACTATTTCTACATAAAACAAACCAGATTTGTACAATTTCAGTAGAAAATGTGAGTAGTGTTTTCCTGTGCAAAACTCACTGTTACTGTTGGTGGTTGTTATGGTGTTGCCAGGGTGTTCTGGGTGGTTGGTAGAATTTTCTGAGTGGTTGGTAGGGTGTTGTCATGGTGTTCTGAGTAGTTGGTAGGGCGTTGTCATGGTGTTCTGAGTGCTTGGTAGAATGTTCTGAGTGATTGGTAGATTGTTCTGGGTGGTTCGTAGGGTGTTGACAGTGTGTTATGAGTGGTAGGGCGTTGTCAGGGCGTTCTGAGTGGTTGATATTATGTTCTGGGTGGTTGGTAGAGTGTTGTCAGGGTGTTCTGGGTGGTTGGTAAGGCGTTGTCAGGGTGTTCTGAGTAGTTGGTAGGGCGTTGTCATGGTGTTCTGGGTGGTTGGTAGAATGTTCTGAGTGATTGGTAGAATGTTCTGGGTGGTTCGTAGGGTATTGTCAGGGTGTTCTGAGTAGTTGGCAGGGTGTTGTCAGGGTGTTCTGGGTGGTTGGTAAGGCGTTGTCAGGGTGTTCTGAGTAGTTGGTAGGGCGTTGTCATGGTGTTCTGGGTGGTTGGTAGAATGTTCTGAGTGATTGGTAGATTGTTCTGGGTGGTTCGTAGGGTGTTGACAGTGTGTTATGAGTGGTAGGGCGTTGTCAGGGCGTTCTGAGTGGTTGATATTATGTTCTGGGTGGTTGGTAGATTGTTGTCAGGGTGTTCTGGGTGGTTGGTAAGGCGTTGTCAGGGTGTTCTGAGTAGTTGGTAGGGCGTTGTCATGGTGTTCTGGGTGGTTGGTAGAATGTTCTGAGTGATTGGTAGATTGTTCTGGGTGGTTCGTAGGGTGTTGACAGTGTGTTATGAGTGGTAGGGCGTTGTCAGGGCGTTCTGAGTGGTTGATATTATGTTCTGGGTGGTTGGTAGATTGTTGTCAGGGTGTTCTGGGTGGTTGGTAAGGCGTTGTCAGGGTGTTCTGAGTAGTTGGTAGGGCGTTGT